CATTCTTCTACAGACCTGCTTTATATAGACCCAGAAAAGGTGAACTGATTCAGGTTTTATGACAGATTGTTATCAGAATTCCTCATAGGAAATGGAGGAAAGCCGGATCTTCTGAAGATCCACATCCTCCTGGGTGGGTTTTTCAATGGCGACCTTAGACCCACTTGTCACCAGGCCTGACCCAGTCATCTCTTTTGTGTCTGCAAGAGATTATCCGCCTGTAGCTTAAATCCTCAAAGCCAGGAGACTCACAGTTAGACATGCATCACAGAGTGTGTTTTTAATTACTCTGCTGTTTAAGCATGATCATATCTGCCTCATCATTGGGGTTCAGATTCCCCTGTAGTGCATCATTTCATATAATCACATTTAGTTCAAAAACAATTCTCAAAAAGATGGGATGTAGAAAAAAATATATATTGTTCTTAATTATTAATGAAAAAAAAGCTTTTTATTAGTTTTACAACAGTCAAACTGTTCTTTATTTGCTTTGCAGGTTTCCACTGATATTTTGACCATTTGTATCTGATGTTAAGCTCCAAGTCACTCAGGTTGGGCGGCCTCCTTTGAAGCACCCTAATCATTAACTCCCTTCAAATAACCTGGATTAGTTTAAGGCAGGGTTCTGGCTGGGCTGTTCTAAAGTAATATATTTAACTATTGATTTTAAGTTTAAATCAAATTTTACCAGGGGTATAAATACTTAGTTATAGGCCAAAACATTTCAAACAATAATGATGTATGAGGTGTGAGAAATTACTTGGTCTGCAATGAGGAGGACAAATTGAAAGAAAAATATTTAGTAACTGATTCTTTTTTATCACTTTTTAGAAGCTAATTTATGCTGTCCTATGAGTTATTAATTTATGGCTGACATTTTCCAGTGACTGGATTTACAGAAGATGACCTGAAAATAGGAGAAGAGAACCATGGTGTTTATTTTTCTGTTTAGCCTTGCTCACAAACTCTTATCTCTCTGCCTTCCTTTGTCTTTCACTTCCCCCTTGTTTCCATATATAGACTATTTGGTTTTTATGATGTTTGCTGTAACTTTTTGTCCCAGGTACCTAAATCATTAATGATCTCAGGGAAATCAGACAGGTTTGCATTTCAGCTTCATAGGCAAGACAAGGCAAGGCAATTTGATATGTATAGCACAATTCAGTAATTGGACAATTCAAAGTTCTTTACATGAATTCGATAATAAAATAGAAGAAAGCAAAAATATTTGTAAAACAAATCAATCATTTGGACCACAAAAAAGCAGAACAAAAGCAAGTTTGTTCATAGGCTCACAGCTTCAGGATCATATTGAGATGGATGGTGTTAGGCTGCAACTGCCAAGAATCCAAATGCTCACATAAAAAGTTAAGAACGGTGAAGACCTGCAGGTAGGTTTATTCAGGCCTAAAAAGCAACATTTTTAACAATAAGATGCAACACAAATCATTTTTAATTAAACAGAAACAGAAATCAACCTTTTTTTTAAGCTTTTATTTTATTTTTTATCATTTTATTCTTTAACCTTCTGTAACCTTTTTAAAGTTAAACTATTGAGGTTTCCTTTCTATTGAGTGATTGAATTTCTTCTTTCTAAAGTTAAAATGTAAGCGTTGGAGAGTATTTGAATAATTTTGATTAATTCTTTCTCTTAGTTTCTACCTATTAGTTAAATAAATCATTCATAAGAAAAAAAAAGACACCTTCAGAATTATGTTAGTAAATGTAGCATTCTTCTTTTCTCTTTTTAAAAAGGTTTTTTTGTTATAAAAAAAAAAGTAATGATTTCAATTCTTTTTAAACATTTATTTTGACCCATAAAGCCGTATCTGATAAAAAAAAGAAACATCAGTTAAGAACACAATCAAAAGTGAACAATCTTGGTGGCTTAGGGGTGTGCAGACCTTTAGTCCCTGTGAATAACTTTCATCATTCGGTCTTTTTTTTTTTGGTAGGAATCTATCAGGACGTCAAGCCTTGATTTTTGACCCACTGTCTGTAAAATCTCCCAGATTTTGAGGCATTTTCTTTTTCTCTTATTTTCTTATTTTTGTTGTTTGATCTAGTTCTAAGCTTTGGTGTTTTGTTGTTTCAATGCCACCGTTATGTTATTAATTTGGACTCGTGATTCAGGAAAATTAAATCTCCTTTCATCTTCAGCTTTCTAACAGAATGTTATAATATGTGTATATATTACACTTTACTTTCAATTCATCTAAATGATCATAATTTTTCCACTGTTGATTAACATTCCTGTATATCTCTTGTAACCTTTACTTTATAATATTTACCTGTGCAGTAAATTAAGACTCAATTCCTTACAGCAAAACTGTGATTAAGCAGATCTGGGATATCCTGCTGAGCAGCCTTTTATTATGCTTTTTATCCTAATTGCTGTCATTTCTTGGTAGTTTCTAAACTTTTTTATTCTGGAAGTTGTGTGAACTCTGAGGCGTTTAGTATCCAGAAAATACTCTTAGCCATATGCTGTCTTCAAACAATTTCTTTGGCTTAAATATAAAGAAGTGCAAATATCACTATAATCATGCAGCTGCACTTTATTTCAGCTTAATCCTATTCACTATAATACGTGACAGACATGAACTCCCACAGACTGAATGCTGAATCAGGCCCTAAAGGTGTCTCAGTCAGTATAAGTTTAAGGCGACTGGCTTTTGTCTTGTTATTGTTCCACATTTTTCCTGATCAGATTTGCTTGTTTTTTTTACTTGAATATATCAAGATGTTTGTCAAAATGTTTGTCAAAAGAAATGAATTATTGCTTTGGCTATTTTTCAGTTCACAGGACATTTTAAGAGGAATGTGTACACCTTGAGGTCTACTGAAACCTCCTAATATTGACGAAAACCACCTGAAACAGATATGATTCACAGACCCCAACCTTATCTACAGGATACAGAGTAAATAACAATGTTAGCCATTAAGAAAATGGTCAAAATGTGTTTATTTTTTAAGGCAGATAAAAAAAAAAGTTACATAGCTTACGGTGTTCTTGCAGTAAGTTAGTTTCACATAAGGGACACACAGGTCCTTAGGAATTTAAGAGAAAAATACAATGGACTAATCAAAGCATGGCCAACTGGGTATAATTGAATAGGTTTTCTTTTTAATCTCCATTTAATGTTAACCGCTATGGCTTGTTTACTATATTTAAATTCAGACCTAAATAGTGGGTCTCAGATTTATCATGTATTTTGCTGCATCAGTCCTGTACCATGATGTTCCCCTTAAGTAACCTTTTTTCCACTAATCTTTATTTACTCATTCTGCCTTGCTTGTTAAATTAACTTTAAGAACATACATATATTTGTTTACAGAGGTGCAGGTGTGTGTCATGTCTATATTAATGTGCTGTCACTGTGGGCAGCATCTAGCTTTTCATCTCTTAGTAAATATTGGTCACTAAGTGATAAAAATGTTTACTCAAATGAGGCCTTGGAGTCGTTGAATATAATCAGATCAGGTTCAGGATCTGATATTAGTCTTCATATTTTCTCCGCTTCCTTTGAGAAAATTGAGTCGTCCACCTAGCTTTTTCCTCTCTCTCTCTCGCTTCCTTAAGTGCATGCAGATGAGGACAGGACACAAACAAGGTTAAAGCAGTGCTGTTATCAAAGACCCCCTGCTGCTGAAGAGCAGCTCATGCAGCCCCGGTACTCATTTTGTTTCTCCATAAATACAAAACATAGAGCTGGTGCAGACTAAATTGGAACTGCCTTCTGAACAAATAGGAGGCTGCTCCCATCTGCAGGTGACGTTGGCAGAACTTGAGAGTCGATTGTCATTTTCTGTTGGTCTTATCTGCTGAGGCAATCTTTTGTCAACTTTTAAAAACATCAAAGGAAGAAAAGTTTCTGCTACTGTCTGTGATTATAAATGAAAATGTTGCATGCATTTACTTGCAGTTTAAACTAAATATCAATGTAAACAATATAAAAAGAGACACAGCCATTTTATGCCTGACATTAAACTGCATTAAATGTTTCCTTTTTTGGTCAGTTAGGAGAATCTGATGTCTTTCTTTTTTCTAAACACCAGTGTTATGAGAAAGAAAGATATATATTCCTAAGATTATTTTCTTTCTTTTTCAAAGGAGAAGCGATTCCTCCAAAAGCAGCTTAAAAATATATTTTGTTGGTTAGAAATTGACTTAAGAACAAAGAGATTATGACAGATATATTTCCTTTGGTTTGATAAATCCAAAGCTGAAGTTTAGAGAATTAGTTTCAAAATCACTTCGAATTCTTGTATGACTGAAGAAAAGTGTGAAACTTATATCGGAACCTTATGGAAGGACAACCCAAAATGATCAACAAAACACTTAGAAAATTAACTTTGGAATTTTAGGCAATGAAAAAAAAAATAATAATAAATAATAATAATAATAATAATAGAACTTTTATTTTGGGAAGTATAAAATAGAACTTACTTTGGTAATCTTATCCTTTCTGACCTTAAACAGAAAATGTTCTCTCTTACTAAATGTTATACAGTTAGTTCTGCAGTATTTGTCATTTGGGATTTTTATAATTAAAAAAATTTGATTAATCAAATTTGCTTTGAAAAAAATGGAAGATTAGATTTTCAAGCCATATTCTCCAGCCTTAGGCTGAATCTCCAGTGACAAAGAAATGGCCATTCCAAACAAACAATAGTGAATGCAGACAAGAATTTCTGATTGGTTTATGCCTTTCCTATTGGAAAATAAGACATAAATAGCAGACAGAAAACTTACAGTCAAGTTAGTGTTACAGTGTTGTAATACAGAAAAGCTCTCCACTGTCCTAAAAATATGTGTTTAGTATTCCTTTATTTGTTTCTGGGTAAGGTTTAGGGTAGTAGTTTGGCTAAGTGTCTGAGGGATAAAAAACTGTGTCTGATGTAGTGGCTATCCTTCAAGGCTTAACTAAAAGATTTACTTAACTGTTACCAGCGAAGACAATGTAAAAGACAATTTTATGCTTCTGTTTCCATTGCAGGAACAACAACAACGGAGGCAACTAACGTGACTACAACTACTTACAGTACTAAGAATGGCAACAACACAACCATAAATCTCTTAACAGAATCAAAAAGTACTGTAGCTTTGGACATTACCACAGTAAAAACATTAGAGACATCATCAGTTCCTCCTAAGATAACCACAGCGTATTCAGTTAACAGGAACAATACTGAGAACATCACCACAGGAAGCCTAAGCAACTCTCCTACTGCCTTCATCACTGGAGGAACCACATTGGCAGAGAAGAGCAGTTCACCTTCTACAACTGCTGCACCTACTCCAATCGACAGCACACAAATTAGCACATTGATGCCAACCACTGATAACACTTCAACAGATATACCAATTACCCTAACAAGCAAAAATATGGCTACCGCTGCTTCAGTCACCCCAACAACAAATAAAACAGATGTTACCATCACAGCTTCAAGCAACAATCCAACTACAGTTTTCAGTCCAACAAACAACGATGCAGCGTACAGTGATACCACTGAAAGTGCCTCAATCACCCTAACCACCGAAAATTTGACGCAATATCCATCTACTCAAACAAACAATGACACAACTACAAATATTCCAATCATGTCTACAAGCAACTACGGAACTTCACTAGCTTCAGTCACTCCGATGAGCAACAATATGACTACACTGGCTGGCAGCACTGAAACTACAGCAGCTTCGACAACACCTACGAGCAATGTTATGACTACAGATGCATCAATCACTACATCAAGTAATACAACAACTGCAGATATTTTAATCACGCCAACGGTCAACAATGAAACTACAACTGATTTGACCACACCAACAAGCAACAACAAAACTACAGTGGATCCAATCACACCAACAAGCAACAATGAAACCACAATCGATCCAATCACACCAACAAGCAATAAAATTACTACAATTTCAATAACTCAGACAAGCAATAATGAAACTACAACAGATCCAATCATACCAACAAGTAACAAAGAAACTACAGCTACTCCAATCACCCCTACAAGCAACAACAAAACAACAGCGATTCCAATCAGACCCACAAGCAACAATGAAACAACAACAATTCCAATCACTCAGACAAGCAACAATGGCACTACAACGGATCCAATCATACCAACAAGTTACAACGAAACAACAGTTCCGATCACACCAACTAACAACAACAACTCAACTGTTCCAATCAACCCGACAATCAATAGCATGACTACAAATGGGTCGATTGTACCAACAGACAACTATACAACCATGTCTGTGACACTTACACCGCTAGGCAATGACACAACGATCACAACAACAAACAACTACACCACTTATAATGTGCCAATTACAACTCCAACTGCTGAAAAAACTACAAGCGCACCTGTTACATTCACCAACAATGTCACAACAACAGCTACAAGTGACAATGTTACTCTTAGTCCACAAAGCACATCCACCAGTGTAACTATGGTTACCTCAAACAATGATACAATCACTTCAACAACCACAGAGATGGGAAACAACTCAACTTTTACTAGCACCACTCCACAGACCAACAACATGACAACAACTATAAGTTTGGTTACATCAGATCAAACTCTTACCACACATACAAGCTCTGTTGGAGCTTCTGAGAGTCCTACATCAACTGTCAATCCATCCTCTTCACTCATCTCAAGCCCTCAGCCATCCAGCACCACCCCAGGCATGAGCAACTCTACCACTGCTGGCAATACAACCAACAGTCCTTCAACAGTACACTCAGCAGGTAAACCTAACCTTTTTAACAGCAGCAATGTCTATTCCTCTAACTGAGGAGGTACGTTCACAGAAAAGGTCTTGATAGTTGAGTCCAATTTTTATATTGAATCCAATCTCTTCAGCCTAGTGTTTCATACCAATAAATATATGTAGCTGCAATCAAAACATAAAGACAACCTCGCTGCACAGAAGAAGAATCTAGATGTCACCGTAGCACAGTATTGACAGATATAAAGATGAATGTCACTAGAAGTGTTTAATAAAGATTTGTTTTAAAACAACAAACAAAAACCTAATAGTGGATGTCACTTTCTCTGTGTCATTATTAAACTCTCGAGCAATGAGAGCTGACAGCGTAATGGTCCCATCATTAGCAGTGACAGAGGATAAGAAAAAACAGTGTGACTATTAACAGCGGACATTTGCAAAACAATTAGTGACTGCTGCTGCTGTAGAGAAGTCTGTAAGGATGTGTACTGGGAGCCCTGGCTATAATGCTATAAATGACTATAAAGTCATAGAAAATGCAGGATAACTCTTCAGGCTGCAGATGATCAGAGATCTAGTTAGTATTATTGTATCATATATGAAAGTGGTCCAAATTGTTTTTTTTAGGAGGTGAAAAGATTAGAACCGGACTGTTTTGATTGATGCAAAATTGTAGGACATGAGTCCGTTATGGGGAAGAAAATTGGACATGGAATTGGAATGTATTATGTAGAAATAACCACTCTCTAGGAGCATGCTCTGATTGCGTTAATCATTTGTTAGATGTGTCTCGATACTGGCTCATCTGTCAATATGTTGTTGAACTGACTGGGTTTAATTTTTGATGATTTAGTAACCAACAACACTATGGATTGCATTAATCATTTGTTAGATGTGTCTCGATACTGGCTTATCTATCAATATGTTGATGAACTGACTGGGTTTAATTTTTGATGATTTAGTTACCAACAACACTATGGATCAAACCACCACTATAAGTTCTATAATCACAAATTCAACCATGAACACCATTCCCACCCTGGACACCAACACCACCACCAGTGGAGCCACAGAGGTTGTCACTACCCTTCTCACAACAGGAAGAACCAGCAGCAGCCTCTCCACAGAGGTTCCGCTCACGCTGATCCCTGTTATTGGTTTGTACCATTTCCTTTGTGTCTGACTGTCCATAGCCTTAGAGTTTGAGCACAGAAGCACAACTTCAACAAAGATTTTTTGCCATTTAGAGTCAGAGCAGTTGATCAGGTTAGCTTGATTAGAAAAGGTGTGTTTGTCTGTCAAAGTTCTAGTGTAATATACACACATTAGAAGTTTTATACTTTTATTATGCTATTTGCAAAATACAATATATACTTACAGTATGTATAATAGTTTAGATTTTTGCTGCCACTGTTCTTTCAGTAAGCAGTAGTTATGCATTTGATTGTAATTTTGGAAATGTTCTACCTGGCACACAAAAAGGCTGCATTTGGTCTGAAAATAGAAACACCTTTTATTGTCCCACAGTGACAAAATATACGTCTTGAGTGACATCAGGTAGGAGTTTAGCAAACTTGATTGGATGTTTTAAAAACATTGAAATATGCCAGCTGATTTGTTGAGATATTAGGTATATAATTGTGGGGCGTGGAATGGGTGTAGAGGTTCAGCATGTGACCCATGTAAAGATGCTTTGGTCCTTGATGCGACCATCACAGGGTCAAGTTCCAGGATGGGAATTTTGCCAAATGTCTTCTCTCTTTAATCCAGTTTCCTGTCTGACTACTTTAAAAAAAATACCTTAATAAAGGCCACTAGTCTGATAAATAATCTTTAGGTCCCTTTCCATTTTGACTTGGATTATTGCACTTGTACTGCAGAGATGTACTCAACTTATAAATAAGTAAAAAAAAACAAAAAAAAAAAACAGACTACACAGTAGTTGGCATTTGTTATTTTGTTATTGCACAGTGAGAGAGAAGACTATTGAGTGACAATAGGTAATGCTTTGCATAAGATGTCCAAGGAGGGGGGTGCTGACCCTTGTCCCACTTCCTATCACCTCCTCCTTCCCCCAAGTGAGGAGTTGTACAGCTTGATGGCTGGATTGATCTTGAGATCTAGATTGGTACAAAGAAGCATCATACCTCTTTTTCTAGCCTTATACTAGACATCGTTTAATTGATAGACTGAATCCAAATGGTGCTAAAATTATTTTTTAATCCTCTTGTGACCTGAAAGAAAAAGACCCAAATCTTTAAAGTATTCTGTTTTCTGAATCTCTCTCCCCAGATTGTTCCTCCACCAAATGTCCTGCTAAAAGCATCTGCCTCAATGGCACCTGTCAGTGTCTCACTGGCAACTTTCTACATAATGGACAATGTGTTCCAGGTAATACCCCAAATGAGCTTGATACAAACACCTCCTTACCTGGCAAGGAAACATTCCTTGATAAACGTATTTGGTTGTCTTTGCAGCCCAAATATTCCCAGGAAGGCTTCATATCCTGTCTCTAACATTTGAGAATCAAATGAGCAACAGGTCATCCAACATCTTTCAGAGGACAGCAGCAAATATCTCAGCAGAGGTGAGTTGTTAGATCGTGAACCAATGAATCTGCTCTTACAGGTTATCCTTTTTTTGCTCATTAAAAGGACTTTTCCCTGTTGTAGCTCAGAAATCTCCTAAGAAATGAGCCTGGATATAGAGGATCAGAAGTTGTTCGGCTAGAGTAAGTTTTCTGTCTTTCTCTTGCTGTCTCTGTGTATTGTAAAATACCACAACTCTTTTTCTGATATTTCCATCCTCCCTAGACCTGGAAGTGTGGTAGCAAGTGTAAATAACATCTTTGAAAACAGTCCTGCTACTCAAGAATCTTTTGATGAGGTCATTAAAAATGCTCTAGGAAGCTCCACAGGACTTCTGAGTAGGGCAACATACACAGGCAAGAACTACCTCCTTATGCAATCCCTAAGAATTCTAGGTTACTCCAGATCATTATCTTAAGATTTTTCTTTTTACCTCCTCTGTTTCAGCAACGGATCTGTGTAAGGTGGAGCCATTACCTTGTGAGGCCTCTAGTACAAAGTGCACAAGTGAGAAAGGCCAAGCTTCTTGCTCCTGTAAAGAGGGATACATCTCCATAGTCTACTCCACCACCAGCTGTAAAGGTACCTTTTGATTCTTCTGTCTCAAATATGTTAGACTTTTTATGGCTTTTACATTGTCTTGTTTCCATACACTTTTTTAGCTTCTAACAGCATACCATGTATTTGTCCTCCACAATTAACCAGTTTAGTTGTGCCTGTTGCAGGAAAGCCCAACACCATGGTGCTGCCACCATGTTTCACCATGCAGATAATATTTAACTGAACTTTTTGCAGTCGTTTTGGGTCAAACATACAGTTTTTGCATGCCAGCCAAGAACTTTGAAGTTTATCTCATCTAACCAGGACATCTTCCACTGGTCCATTATGTCCGTCACTGAACCACAATAACCATGAAGTTCTCCTAGCTTCTCTGTAACGGCGTTCTTCTGGCTATTCATCAACAAAAGCCACATTGATATCATTATCAAAGTATCACCTCTATTGACCAGCTTTTGTGAACACATTATTTGGTTGACATTATTCTGCTCTTAATTTATCCAACAATTGATGGTAATTTAGAGGAACAGACACAGTATACATTCAATTGTAAAGACTGTTAAAGTGGACAAAGTTAAATGTTAGCTGATCGACAGTCTAGAGACTAGTAACAAACCTTCCTTATCCCCACTGAAACACTTCTGTGGGAAGGAGGGAAAGAAACAACAGGGAGTAAAACTCACAGGCAAGGTCAAGAGCTGTAGCCTTTTCTCTGTGCAGACCCTTGACCCAATCTTCATTTATCTCTCTAATCTATTTCTTTTTAACTGGACGTTACCCTGGTAACATGAGGAGGAATCACCACTTTGCCTTAGATCGTGCAGGGATGTGACCAATGAGATCAGCTGTTGGAAATCCATGATTGAATGCGTTTCAAACAAATTCTGCTAACAGATTCTTTCCCAAGAAATACATAATATCCTTTTGTGTGTTTGCTAGTAATAGCCCTTGTGTTGCCTCCAGAGCCTGAAACTGTAGCTTTGTTTGCTCTCTAGTAAAAGATATTGTCACTGAGTTGTTGTGTCTTTTTTTTTTGCAGCTTGTCCAAGTGGGCAGCAGGCAGTGGGGGACAAATGCCAAACGTGAGTATACATATTTCACACAGGGCTTTATGTACTAGCTCCCTCTAGTGGAGTCATTGGTAAATGCAAAATGTGCCAGTGTAAATTTAGTTGTTTTCTTTCAGATGTCCATTTGGGTATGCTGGTTTCAACTGCAATGACTGTGAGTCTTCCATCATGTTAGCAGCAGAGAAACAATGCAGCTGAATTTTTATCCTGCTGTGGAAATCTCTTTAAATATTTCTCCTGTCTTTGCAGCATCATTACTGGCAGTGGTGATCGTCTCCTGTGTGTTAGGAGGACTTCTCCTCATCCTTCTTCTAGCTTCGCTGGTTTACTGTTGCTGGTAAGAAAATCAGACATGACTTTGAGACCCTGTCTAAAGATATAAGCTGTGTTTTAATTGCTTGGCTTATTAGCCTTTACTGTATTTAGGCTAATTAGTAATAATTCTTAAGATCTTCCCTGTCCTAAACATTGCCTGTCAAATCAGTTTAATCTCTGCAGTAATAATCTATGTTGGTAAAAAAAAAATAAAAGGTCAAAAAAGAAATCCATGGTTGCTATTAATCTATGGCTTGGTTCTTAGTTATAAACAATATCTGCAAGTTTGCGTATAGAAATAAGGTCACAGGAAAGCCGGCCAAGAAATCCCACTCACTGAGCAAGTATATAACAGTAACAGTTGTGTTGATTGAACTAAGTTATTTTCACCAGTAAGTGTTCATGTCAGACTTGCTGGAAATAATCCTGCTGCAGCAACAAGGTTTTCAATGGTGTTTGACCAGGCAGAGTGTTCACTTTACTGTAGAAATATAACACATTTATGGCTTATAAGACATATGGAGCATCATGACATGAGTTACATCATGTAGATCAATTTTTGTCAAGGCAGAGTCAATTATGAGCAGTTTTAAACTGCAGTTCTTTTTTAACCAAAACTCCATACATAAAAAAAAAGAACATATACAGTAAACATCAAGTTAAAGAAAGGAAAATTTACATCTTTGAGTGGTCTAGTGACAAGAAATGCCCTCACAGCTTATAGAAACATTTGGAAGGCAGATTTGGTGGATATATGAGAGACTCCCAGAACTTAAGACTGGATACTGTTACCTTATAGTATCAGTTAAAGTGTTTTCGCACTAATACAGTGACATTATGGCAGCTCTTGTTTTGCTTCTTAGATTAATTAAACAAGATAAATATCACATGTGTGGCAAACGATTTAAAATAATATCTTATGGCTTTGTTTATCCATGTGACAAAATTTCTATCCAGCAAGGTTTTGCTGTTTCTTTAACACATTGTTGATGATTGTAGGAAAAGGAGAAGAGGTGCTGTGAATCTACCAGGTGCAAAAGGCATTGGAAATTACAGAGATGTGATGATCAGCCAGAACGATAAATTAAGTCACATGATTTTTTGCTATTTAGGAAACTTAGTGAATGTTGTGTTTGTTTTCTTCTAAACTCATAATCTCCAAAATGGTCAGTCAATTTACACAAAAGGAAAAGCGGTCAATTTACATAAAAAAAAAAAGAGTTTCAAAGACCTTTAGAAAACCAATTGGGTATTTTAAATAATAAAGAAAAGAAATCTAACTTTGAGAAACTATCTTGGAAGCAAACAATTTACAGTAAAAACATTTGCTTAACTAAAATGAAAGCACAACAACATTTTTTTTTTTCATTTTTATGTTTTTAATTCTTTGCTCTTCCTTATATATCAGGAGAAGATGTTCAAGAAACAAACCTGACCACCACACCAGTCCATACTCTGAGGACTTAAACAAATCATGGCCCATTAGCATCACCCCCATCCCACGTGCAAACTCCAACTGGGACTCAGCCGCTTCCATAGAGATGACAGAAGGGGGCAGCACCAACATGCTGGTGGACAAAAAGCGACAAAGCAATGGCCTTGTAAGTTCAAACACTTGCTTCTGTCTCTTGCTGCTTCTTTTTTTTTAACAAGGCTTTAGCTGCTTCAGCTTCACTGCCGTCACATACTAACCTTCACCAAAAACGCCAATCTGATTATTTGTAATTGAAAAACATCCAGATAAATGGTTAAATTATACCACATTTAGTTAATGTGTCTCCCTATCACCCGCTTTTTAACAAAAAAAAAAAAAACACAACCTCAGTTGGGTTTTTTTAACGTTGAAATCAACAACCTATATTTCACTCTGAGTATTAAACACAAGTGATAATTTTTAACCTTTGCACAGCATTGTATTTAATCCACTCATCCAGAATGTAAATACAGTCCTATTAGCATTAGTTCCTACCCCTGCTCCCTGCTTTGCCTGACTCACAGTGTGTTGCTTTAGGGGTGTCACCTGAAGCAGAAAGGATGGAAAAAGGTAAGGTATAGCTTTGCTTTTAGACCTTTTTCCCTTGATGCCCCCTGCAGATAATTTAGACAGCATGTTTGCATGCATAATGGTGGTGATGTTTCTGGTTGTTTGGGAAATGTTATCGACTATTTTCTTTGTTCTCCATGCTGATTGTAGTGAATTTAGCTCCATCAATACCCTTAAATCAGTAGGGTTATCGGTGTATGTGTACTAGGTTTACTTGGGTGTTTGGGTATAAGCATGTTAAATCATCGCTGTATAAAAAACAATAACACTCCACACTTCTGCTGGCATTCCAGTCAGGATCGTATGAGCTGAACCCAGAGGAGATGAAGACCTTCAAAGGTAAAAACACGTCCCGTTACTCCTATCTGGTCGAAGGGCACGAGAACCCCTACTTCCTCCCTGGTGATGAGAAGAAAAACTGAGACAACAAACTCCTCAAAGAAATGATCAAATTCTCTGGGACAACTGGTACACTTTCACAGCGGGATCAGGCTATTCATGAAGACAATTCATGTGACGAACCTGCTTTAATTAATGAAGAATCATCAATATGCTGAAAAAAACCCCAACAAAAACTGTAACCAAAGGGATTAAAGTGGAGATGTTTTTTTCCTGTTATTTTCTTAAGTAAATGTGTGAATCTTGTCTGCTTTTAAGAAGCACAGCCAGTAGGTGTCAATGTTGCTTTTTATTAATGCAGTTCATTTTGTCTTAAGAAATCATCATGTAGTATATTTTTATAATTATGCTTCCTTCGCTGATTGCACTGAAATGTGTTTGTGTGTGTGAGACGTTTACCTCTACCTTTCAATCAAAGGTGAATTGAATCATGGTTTTTAGAATGGAATGACCAGTTCTTAGAAAACAACCTTTAAAAGATCAAAGGGGCTGGATCCCTGGCTTGGATTGTTTTTAAAAAATGTAGCAGTCTAGTGTGGAGGATTACAGAATGTGCCTGAATTAGTCGTCAGTTTTACAAATAGGAAATATTATGCAACGCTGGTGATAAAGCCTGTCTTTTGGAGGTGCCAATTGCCACTTGTATAACTCTTTATTTTTTTTTGGAGTGGGGGGGGATCTATACTAATATATTTACCTTTTTGTGAATAAAATAGCTACGTTTTGTATATAAACTTTTTTGTTTTGTAAAAATAATGAGATTTATTTGGTTGGGAGTGTGTGTTTGTGTGAGGGCTGATTGTTGAAATAAATTAATTTAAACATAAAATGGGTCATCATTTCTGTATCATGCCAAATAAAACAACAACACATTATGGTGTCTTTGCCAATATGAACCCCACTGTGCTTCCCAGCGCATTGTTTCTATTACATTCCAAATAAAATTTGCTGACATATTTGGGGAAAAAAATCAAATTAGTAAAACTTAATTTAATCCTGTTTGCTCCAATTTTTATTTTTTACTTTATTTAAACAAAGTAAGTACAAACAAGTAAGGCAATAGCAACATTACAAATCTGTGGAAGGCATAATAGTGGCAGATTTCAAAAATGGAAGTACAAGGCATTATTGATAAGGAACAAAAAAATAAAATGGCTGATAATAATGAAATAATTATTAACATGGCAACAAGGGGATTTATGTTAGGATTGATGAACATCGGTGGGCAAACCCATCAATATTTCAGTCCTGTATTCGTATGATTCGATACATTTAAGATATTTCAAATATAACTAGATAATTCAGATAAG